CCGGTCCGCGGACCGGGGGTTGAGGACCACTGCTGTACACAATCAAAGTTATCAGCAGTTACCAGTTTTATAATTTCTTAAAAGACAGGAACTAGTAGAAGGTAATAACAAGGTTCATACATCATGCTGCACTGTGTATAATCATGATTCATTGAGTAAGCCACAATGACATGAGTTTGCACCATATCCTATAGTTTATATGGTACATTTAATCAAAATCAGACAAACTGTGTGTTTGCCTACATCAGATGGAGTACTCAAATCACTGAAAAGATTGTTCAGTGGCATTGTCTGTAATAACATGGAGGAATACATTGATTCAGATGATCAAGTCCATCTGTATCTTCTGACAAATATGGAAGACCACTGAAGATAGCATGTGGTAGAGAATTGAAGGCTGTTCTTACTTGGTGAAACTAAAGTTTTTTGTCTTTCTCTTAAGAACAGTTAGATTCAGAGAATCTCAAAAATATTTAAGATTCTCCAGTGGTCTTCTAATTGGAAGACATCGAGTTTCATATTGTTCTAATTGCCCAGAAATAAAAAGAAATAACAAGTTAGATTCATAAACTCACAGGCCGCACGAAAGGGAACACCCAATTTCCCCTGGATATTGTTGACTAGTACAATTTGACCAGTTCTCCTGGAGATCATGTTGGGAAGAAAAGCTGGAGAACAAAATGGGAGAGAAAATCATTTCACATTAACAGAAATGAAAATACGAATTTCTGATCCACTAAACCAATAGCAAATGAAAGGATAACAGTATGATATCAGTTTACACTATACTATATAGAAACCATGAAAGGTTTTTTTTGCTATATATGCATTATTCATTTTTTTCTACCTATAGTTAGATTCTTCAGGAACTAAAAGCTGAGAAAATTATTTACGGTAGATACTAAAATAGCAATTTATATTGTGTCTAGGATGAATAAAAATGCATCACTGATCAATGCAGAAATGGCAGAAATGTTTCTGATTAATTAAAAAGCAATTAGGTAATTGCTAATTCCTTTGAATGTCCTGGGGAGGGGAAGGAGGGCATAAATCTGATAAAGAAATAAATAATTTCCTTGAATTGTATTCCATCGATGTAACATCAATTAATCTAATTTCTTCTGGGAGATTGAACAACAGATTGAATATATGTATAAGATATGCATCTTTACAATATGAGATGAGATATTAAGCAGCCATATCTTCAATAAAACTACTCAACATCCAGATTTCCTCAAAGGGAGAAAAGACCCCATTTCAGTAGGTTGGAAAAGAAAATCTGCAACCTTTTAAAAACTGAGATACCCTAACAATCTCTCTAGTTCTTTGTGAATGAACATTGCTGAAATCTAGTGTGCCAGAAAACTAAATAGGCTTGGACCTGGGTCATACTTGGATGGGAAACTATCAATAAATCCTATGATTATAGGCTAGCTAGGGAATAAATAATAAAAACAGAACAAGGCAACAGCAAATTATTTCCATATCAAGGTTCTAAAAATTGCATGGATATAGCCATGTAGTTACAAGAGCTCAGCTTGACAGAGTCTTTGCTTTATACTACAATTAATTTCAATTGGTTCATTACATTTCCCTTAAAACAAAATAGTATGGCAGACACCTGAATAACATTCCTGGATAACTCTTACAGACAGTGTTTCTCAACCATGGCAGCTGTAGGAAATAATATCCTATTTATCCCTGCCTGAAAGTATGGCATAATAATGCTAGGCTATCTTGCAGAGCTGGCTTGCTTCACATTCACTCTGCCATTAGGTATCCAGGTAACAATGATGCAATTCATTGTGTGCATTTTTAAAATGTTTAGCAGTTAAACAACAACAACAAAATTATTTTTAAAAATGTCAGTTCCTAACTTTGCTTCTGTCTTTATTTTTTTGGTAAATAGATTAGTGTCTAATCACAGCAATATCAGAAGTCTGTATTTTTGAATTGTTTTTTTTAGTAGCAATAATTGCTTCCCTTGCACAATATTTATGTCAATTATTATTAAGATAAATCATGACATCTAAAACTTGAAAGTCATTAACAAGCCAGCTTTACAAGTTAATCCAAGCAGTGACTATACTGTACATTTTTTAATATCTTGGTTTATGGGGGGGGGCGACAAAAGTACTTCCTTTTTGATATCTTTTGACTAAATAAAAATGGAGAATTTGGAGATTATGACCTTTGAGCAAGAACCATCCACTTCCAAGAATGGTCTTGTAAAAAAAACAACAACTATGAAATGCATGCAAAGTATGCTGTCCCTCTGTAACCTATTTGTGGTATTAACTTATTACTGATCATGGTTTCATCATTTTAGTTATTTTTATTATCATTTTTTAATGCTACCCATCTCCCCTATAAAGTGACTCTGGACATTTCATGCTACTTGCTGTTAAGGATTTTTTTCTGTATTTTCTTTTACACATAGTAAATAATTATACAACCAACCATATATCCATCCTTTAGTTTAAAACAATGAGCTTGGGCATGCCACAGATCATTCAGTTTGCAAACAATTCCCACTGCATGTTAATCTAGTCCATTTCTCCTTTGCAATCTTCTTGCCAACTGCCAATCACAGACCCTTTCAACTAATTATTGCTGAAAGGCAAGATACATTGTCTATCCAACTACAGGAAGTAGGAAGGGACTGTCTTCCAAAGACTGCAAACCTGGTGGAGGTTTTTCTTCCTTTCTGTGCACCAGCAGTAGTTGGCAACTAGCACCATTCAACTGATGAGTTTGTGTCCTGAGACAGACATAAGACATAACCTTTGTATGGAAACTCCACATCATTTCTCATTTTAGAATGAGATCTCTGCATGCTATAATTGCTACTTAGGAGTTTGGGATGCTTCCAGATGGAGGATTCATATTCCTAGTAATTAACAAAAAAACCATTGCATTTATCTTGCATTTACCTTTTAAAACAGATTTTCTATAGTGGGAAGAAAGGTGAAGATGCAGTAGAGGAAATACAGGATTGCAGATGGAGGATCGGACACTCAATAACATTGTGTGAATATATTGGAATAAACCTTTGGAAATGTACTATGATCTAAATTTGAGTCAGATCCATGTGATCTGGAAGCACATTATTAATCTGGCAGGACATGCAGGCAAGATACAATCTGAAACAGCCAGGATGTACTGTAATCTGAGAACTAGCAGCCTTTAAAAGGTGAGTGATACTTTAGGATGTCCAAGGGCTAATGGGTGAGTTTTTACAATATATTTCCTCACTCTCTTATTTTTCCCGGATAAGCCACATCTCTCTAATCTTGACTGTACCACACATCTGAGATACTTTTTCACAAAAACACAGATGAATCATAATTATTTTGGGGGTCTACAGTTAGTATTCATTTCAAACCATTTTGAGGACCCCAGAAGCAGGACATAAAGCTGCAACAAAATTGTCCACAGAGAGTTGTTAGTGAAAAATTAATGAGCCAAACTTCCACTGGGACTCCAAAATAGAGTTCCCAAGAGTCAGACTCTTGCTGCAGAGATTAGTTCATAGCACATAAATATTTGAGGCGTGTGGCAAATGGACTAGTATTGGGCAAGGTGTAATAGTGCTCAATGTAGTTATGGGATGAGGAATTGCAACAAAGAGCACATAGAATGAATCCCAGCTTTTGAACTGGTGTATTCAGACATTCTTGTTACATTTAACCAAAATGTATAAGCTAGATCATATAGATCTTCCCCCCCCCACACACACACAAGTTTTGAGTAGAGTCTTTTTGAAGGAAAGGAAGCTTCATTTGGTTAGTTGGATGCAGACACTTCCAATGGATCCAGAACCACGTGTTATTTGGCTTTCGCACCACATAGCAGTCTCAGAATGTACACATGGTGTGACATTCTCTGCAAAACTCTGTGGATGCCTAGGACAGAGGCTAATGTTGCTGAACAAGATGACTGCAATTTTGGACCACATAAACCCCTTTGTATGTTCCCTTTTATTGTAACTAATACATCCCCAGAGATGGCTAATATTAGAATTGAAAGGTCCATGGAAGAGCTGTGGATTATCAATCAGTCAACAATTGAACGACTTGTTGAATGGATTGGATTGGTTTTAGTTGTTGTTTTAGCTGTAATTATCACCAGAGAAAGGTTAAAATGACACAGGTATTTTTCCATACAGACCCCAGGGGTCAGGGCTGACTCAGTGGCATCTAACCCATTAACAGTAAACACCTCCAGGAAGGCTGAGCCCAGCAATCCAGTCATTAGATACATATACTATTAGGGGAAAATGCTTTACCAGCAAGCAATATTCTGCCAAATCCCTTTCATTAATAAATCTCTCATCAAACTCAGCAAGTCTTTGGAATAATTCCAAAATGCACCCGAGTTTGCAATCAGGGCAGATGTAAGCACAAGCTGCTAAAGTTACTACCTCATTTTTCTTTATTTAACCACTTCCAATTCTGTCTCCATCCTCCACTTTTCCATGTAAAATGATAGATTACAGTCACTAGAAGTATTTGAAGTAGTTACATGCCACTGATTCAAGTCTAGTAAGAGTTGAAACAGCTATCAGAAATTAAAGCATGTTGCCCTACAGTTATGTTTTATTTCCTTCAGAGAGACTTAGGCTCTCTGAAGATTTGGCTGGAGCTCTATATCCTGGAGATTATCTGGGGAAAGGCATGACAGCTAAGCTGAATTAAATTTGAGATAGTTTGTTGTATGTATATACATAAAATTACTAAAGATTCCTTCCTTTCCAAGAGCAAAAATATAGTACAGGTAGTCCTTGATTTACAACAGTTCATTTAAAGTCCATTCAAAGTTACAATGGCACGGGAAAAAGCAGTTTGTGACCATTTTCCACACTTAAAATGGTTGTAGCATCCTCATGGTCACATGATCAAAATTCAGTTTGGCAACTGATTTCTATTTATGGCGGTTGCAGTGTCCCAGGGCCACATGGTCACTTTTTGTGACCTTCTGACAAGCAAAGTCAATGGGGAAGACAGATTCATTTCACAATTGTGTTACTCACTTAACAATTTGAATGATTCCCTTAACAACTGTGGAAAGAAAGGTTGTAAAACAGGTCAAAACTCACTTAACTAATGCCTCATTTAGCATTTAGAATTATGGTGGTAAGTCAAGGGCTCCCTGTATCCCTAAAACATAATAAGATAAGAGAGGCAGTCTTCTTTATACCTTTGGTGAGTGTTATAGGTCCAAAGTAGTTGGCATCCATGATCTTTTTGTCGAGTTCCAGTGACACGTTTTGAACTGTCCCCTTGGCTTTTGTGCTAGCGTTGTTAATGAGAATATCCACACATCCATAACAATCCAGGATTTCTTTAGCTACATCTTGGATACAGTTTACATCAGTGAGATCTAAAAGGATAGGCTTCGGTGTAAATGTCTACAAAAGAAGGAGGGTTTGAGGGTTACTGTATTATAAAACAAAGATATCCCAGTACTTTTTGAAGCATAAACAACACAAAAGAGCGGGATAATTCCTAGAGGCAATAAAACACTTTGCCCTGTTTGGTGACTTGCCTATTTTCATCTATTTTTGGATCTTCTGCTCCCAAAATTCCCAGTCATATGGCTCACAGTAAAATAAATGGGGTTTATCAAATGACCATGACTATGTAGGAGGCAATCAGATTCAAAGATGAAGTAGAATTGATCTATTAAAAGTATAAATAGTAACAGTTCCTTAGGAAAAAAAGTATTAGCTTTTAAAATTTGGTAGTACTCTTGTTGTTTAAATCCAGAATCAACTATTTGTCAGTTTATATAATTGTCTGGTCTTAAATCTGGAAATAACTGGTTGTGATTATTCGTACGGAAAAAAATATGTGAATCATGTGCACTAGCTCTTTAGTGTAAGGCAGCCTCCTTCATTCATTGTTTAAAAACAAACTAATTAGACTGACTTTAATTTTGATATTTTCCAGTAACATCCAATAAAACCTGAGATCATTCATTATATAAGACAATACTGTGAGGTAACAAATTTATACAATTGCAAAGAGAGACAATAAAACGAACTTTAGACTGCCTTGGGAAATAAGGTAGTTTTGATCTAACACTAAAAATGCAATATTTACGCTGTATGTCCTGAATACTGTTTGAAATACTGAATATTAATCTATATTTTTCTGAAATTGTGTATTACAGCCTATGGTCTGTTACAGTATTGGCAAACCTTCAGGTTTCTGGCATGTGCATGCTCGACAGCCAGCTGGTCTTCATGTGCGCATGCGCTCCAGAAACCGGAAGACCAGGCGGTTGGTGCACATGCGCGTGCTGGAAAGCGGAAGATCATCTTCCCAGCGCATGCATGCACACCGTGCGGTTGCTCTTCCAGTTTCCGGTGCTTCTGTGTGCATGAAGACCAGCTGGCTGGCACACCAGAACATGTTATAGCAACAGGCAACAGCTTGTGTGTCCAGAGAGATGGCTCTGCGTGCCATGTCTGGTACCCATGCCATAGGTTTGCCATCATGGATCTATTGCCATCCTTTAACCCCTAAGAATTATTCAGTTGTAGGATATGCTTGTTCTAGGTAGGTTTTTTTAATATGATGTGCATTCCTAATGTATCTTTTTATTGTACATGAACAAGATTAGTGATTAATTACTTTATTTGTTTACATGTGCATTTTATTAGATTCCTACTATCTTCAAACAAGATTAGTGATTAATTACTTTATTTGTTTACATGTGCATTTTATTAGGTTCCTACTATCTTCAAACAAGATTAGTGATTAATTACTTTATTTGTTTACATGTGCATTTTATTAGGTTCCTACTATCTTCAAACAAGATTAGTGATTAATTACTTTATTTGTTTACATGTGCATTTTATTAGGTTCCTACTATCTTCAGACAAGTGCCTCTCCAGCAAGCTGGCAAAATCATGCATTGTGCTATCATGACTGCTGTGCTATGCTTAAATGCCATCATTTAATTGCAATCTGCCCAGAGTCTCTCTGGCAACATCACTGACATATAAGTTTAATAAATAAATAAACAAGTGAATAAATAAATGACATTACTTATTTGCATGTGAGTACTAAAGGAACGGAATCAAATTTCATAATTTGCCTATGTTCATAGGACAGTAAGTTAATCTTTTAACTGCCTTCTTCAGCATTCCAACTATTTCAAAAACTAAGTTCTTAGAATGCTACTGCCTTCATTCCTCATCCAAAGGTGGAGATGGTGGAAATTATAATTTAAATCTTCTGGAAGTTTCCAGACTGAGGAAGGGTGGAATGTAATCTTATAACTTTTCATGTGTTTTCTTTTGTCCTATAATTTCTTCAAGCACTTTTTTTTTTACTTGTACAGTATTTACCTTCTTAAATTTAGGCTGATCCCTCATGTTCCTTTATAGTAGAAGCAGGGAAACATTTGCCTTCCTGAGCTTGAGTAGCAAGTGAATTTTAGTTCAATACCAGCAATGGGCCAGCAATTTCCTTCTCTGCATCTGAGACCAATAAATATTTTAAGGAAGGCAGAGGAGACAGTGTGTCACCCGGATTTGTTCAAAGAAAGGTGAAAATAGGTAAGGAAACCTCCCTCCTACTTCTACCTATGGTAGGATTGGCCCTATGAGTAATTAATTTGTTGGGAAGAAATGTTCAATTCAGAAACCCTGAAAAAATTGCTTGGCCATACTAGATCAAGTCTCTCTCTCTTTTTGCCTTTATATAAATCTTTAAGGATGTACAAGAGTCCTACTATAGTAGAGTGGAAGAAGTATATTGGGTTTCTATTTTCTGGGGTATTGTTGACAAGAGGAATTGATGCAATTATTGTTTAATACTGTATGGTGTTGGCTATGCATAGTATACATGTGAGTGTATGAAAATGAAAAAATAAAAATATTACTCAAAAAAATAAAAATA